GCTGGTGCTCTACCACTTGAGCCATACCTCCACTTCCATTTGTTTTTTGATGGTTAGTTGGAGATAAAAGTTTCAGGGACTTTTCCTTCCTGACCTGGCTTTGAAATGAGATCCTTGGATTTCAGCTTCCTGAATAACTACCATTCTAGGCATGAACCGTCAGTGCCCAGCTCAGAGACAGTTTGATGGACGATGTATTCCGAAACTTTGTGAATAGGCATGGCAGTCTAGTAACCACTTAGACATTGACTGGGGCGAAGGACTGCTGGAATTCCATCCACCTATCATACAGATGAGACTCAGGATTCCATTGGTCTTTCAGATGAGTCTCCAGTATTCTGCCTGTTTCTAAGCAGACACCTTGCTTGTCAGTGTGTATATGGTGTATAGGCCACTGTGTGGTGTGTGGTTTGACACTTGCTCTTTGTCTTGATGGAAGCATTAGAAAAAGCTGAGGTGCACAGCATGTGCTACCTGATAATCATGCAGAACAACAGGTTGATAACAGGAGGAGACACCCGACATTGTATTTGGCCCTTTCTCTGCCTTTCCTTTTCTGCTTTGTACAGTCGGTGTGTGGATACTGTTTTCATGATCTAAGCCAAGCCACTGTGGTTAAATATTTGATTTGACTAGAGTCATTAACAGAGATCAAAATACCATACATAGATTTTACGAAAGTAATAAAATGTCTCAGAAAGTTACAGTTGTTCTGCCTGGGGCTCATTGCATGCAATAAATTAGGCACACCCGTGTCACGTGTTGCCCTGTTGAATGACCCCGGCTGCTTATCTGTATGCAAGCTTGCCATTTTGAGGAAACAAAGATAAGAAATTTCCTATGCATGTGTAAAAAGTATTTTTATAGGCTTTGCTTGAGCTTTGGAGAGTGGAATTCACTTCTGTTAAACAGTAAGTGCTTAATAGAGGCCCTCTTTTTGCCCCATTTTCCAGCTGTCACCAGTATATTATATAAGAGGACTCCTTCGTATCTTCTAAATAGCTCTACCTCTTTGTGGGTTGCTGAAAAAAAGCAAAACAAAATGATAACAGTTTTTTTTTTTGTTCATGAGAGAAGTAGGCTTATTTTTAAAATATAGCGAGCCTAGATGGTGCCATTATTGGTGATTCAATTTTTTTATTTTTTCTTACACATTCCCTGAAATTCTTATAAAAGTTGACCCTCCTTTTGGGGATGGGACTTAGCGCAGGTACTCCAGTTTTGAACTACACTCCCCAGCTCCAAAGTCTAGTTTTTAAATGAAAAATGTTTCACAAAAGGCAAAAAAAGGCAGATAAGCAAACAAAAATCATCCGTCAGATATGGTAATCATTTAATATCGTTCTTTCCTTTTCCATTTTTACCTTTTGCAGATGTATTATTGACAGTTTAAAGAAACAAACTGATACTGTGTATGTGGGTAGGCTTACCGCAGTTTCAGACTTTGGTTTTCAGCGGAACTAAACAGAAGTCTGTTGCCAACTCATGATGAGGGGGCTCAGCAGGTTGTGGAGTGTGTGTGATTTAGCACAAGGCTGTTGAGAGGAACTGAGGATGTCTGATGAGGTGGACTTAGGAGCCAATGCAAGAGCTCTTCATTCTTTCTGTCCATTTTTCATTGGCCAAAACTTTATCACATGACTACCCCCTAACTGCAAGGAAGATTGGGAAATGTAGTTTAGCCCAGTATGTGCAGATGGAAAGTGAAACAGCATGAATAGTTTCCTTTTCCTTTTGTAAATCAAGCTCACTGTTTTGAAATTACTTCATTTGTATAACTGTTATTTTTCCACCTCTACCTTGCTGAAGGCGCAGCGTGTGTGTGTGTGTGTGTGTGCACGTGCGTGTGCACGCATGTGTGTCATGCACTTTACCTCACTGTTCTTCTTGAAGTTGTCCTTTCCCTAAAGCCTATTCTTCACAATAGCCACAGTGGATCTTCTAAAATCTTAAGTCACATCCTGTCATCCCCATGCTGGAAACTTTCCAGCGCTGCACCAGAAGTAGTTAGAATAATGTCTGCCTTCCTTGGCTCTGACCTCACTGCAGGCTCACCTCTCTGGCCCCTCCCTGTGTTGCACCCTACCTGATCTCTGTTGTTCCTCAGATCTGGGTTTCAAATGTCTTTTCTCCATCCTCACACATTGTCTACCTCTTTCTCTGCTGAGTTGATTTCACTTCGCTGTCATATTAGCTCCAAAGCAGTTACCACTGTCCCAAATTGCCTCGTTTGTTTGTGTCCTATCTTTCCATTCTGTCTTTCTGCCGATTAGATAATGGGTTCTGTGAAGCAGGAGCTGTCTTGTTTTATATCTCTCTCCCCAAATACTAGTTGTGGCACATGATAGCACTCACTAAATACCTGGGGGGTTGAGGAATGCCATTGCTGACTCTCACCCATTTGTAATGAGTCTGTTTTAGCACTTGTTTACGGAATTAACTGTCTACTATAGAGAAGTCTTTAGATTTTTCTTTTTTAGTTGAAATGTGCTTTGGTGACCATCCTTTTGGATAAGTTTCTTGTGTTTTTCTCTTATTGGTGCTTTTTTTTTTTTTTAAAGGATTGATTTCTTAAGTTTGTTGAAAGAAAAATAGTGACAAGTGCCTGTGGCTCACATGTAACCCTAGCTACTCAGGAGGCTGAGGTCTTGAGGATTGAGGTTCAAACCAGCTTGGGAAGGAAAGTCTGTGAGACTCTTATCTCCAATTAACCACCCAAAAGCCAGAAGTGGAGCTCTGGCTCAAGTGGTAGGTCTCTAGCCTTGAGTACAAAAGCTCAGGAACAGTGCCTAGGCCCTGAGTTCAAGCCCATGGACCAGCATTAACAAGAAAGAAAGGAAGGAAGGAAGAAAGAAAGAAAGAAAGAAAGAAAGAAAGAAAGAAAGAAAGAAAGAAGAAAGAAAGAAAAGAAAGAAAGAAAGCAGTGTTGCAATTGCCCTTGAGAAAGCCTGCCGGCCTGCATTTGCTGTGTGAGGAGCCTTGTGGGCTATGTTCGCCAGAACACCGCAGGGTAGGCTGGCTGGTAAGGGACGGGTGCATCATCTGTATCACCATGTCCTTAGATCACAGAGCAGATTGAATCAACAAACAGCTTTCCTTTAGAAAAGTCTAGTTATTCCTTTATTTTCCTTATTTTTTTTAAACAACTGTTGCTTGATCTTTTTTTTCTTTTGCCTGCTTGGGAAGTAGGTCTGTCCTTGTCACACTGTCATCCAGCGTGAATACAAACCCAGGCCTCCCAGGTGTGTTAGCTGCATTTATCCTGTTCCTTTGAACCAGTTAAGATTTGATAGAACCTACCATCAAGCCTTCAAAAGTATGGACTGTACCCAGGATTCCCAAAAGTTCCAAGAAATAGTTAAGCAGAGTCCTTTCCCTCCCTCCCCCTATCCTCCCCCCCCCCCCCCCCCCCGCCCATGGGCTTCTTCTCTGTGGTGTATGGTTACCTCAGTCACATCCTCAGAGCAATGCAGAGGGAGGGGCACAGCGTGAACACAGGTTACTGTGCTCCTCCTTCCAGGGTTAGTTCCTTCCCTGCTGCCTTAGTAACTCTCAGGATTTATTCATCCTTTGGACCACTCCCAGCAGACATCCATCTGCCCGCCCTGTGTGGCAGCATTCAGAAGAATCGCTGGCTTCCATATTTGAGTGAGTCCCCTTCTTTTCCTGACAGATTCTCATCATCCATTTCTTCTGGATGATGCTATTCCCCTTTCAAGTTGTGTCTGCACTCTCCTTTGCCAGGAAGGCCAGTGGTGCCAGTTTGTATGCCATAGGTACTTGTCAGCTATGAGCTCCCCTTAGGTGTGCAAAGAACTCTGCAGAAGCATCGCCATACTTGGTCTGTCTGTGGAAAATACTTTCCCTGTGGCATCCTTTGAGCCAAGCAGCGCATGGAGGGCGTTGCAGGGTATGCAGCAGAAGCTCACGGAGTAACAGAAAAGAGCCTCTGCCTGTGGACCGTCCCATAGAAAGAAAGAGTTCTGCACTCCCTCTCTCCATCCCTGCCTTGCTCACTTCCTTCCCTCTCTGCCATTCTTGGAGACCAAACTCAGGACTAAACAAGCATGCCACTACTGAGCCACACTCCCAGCCTGTGATTAGAGGAGGGTAAATCATAAGCACAAAGTGAGGAGTCTTTTTTCTATTTATTTGTGTGGGTATGTATGTTTGTATGCATGTGTGCATGTATGTGTGTATATATGTATGTGCTGGCACTGGGACTTAAGGCCTGGGCACTGGCGCTGTCCCTTAGATTTTTTTTTTTGTGTATGCTATTGGCACCAGGTTATTATTTTACATATTTGTGTTTCCCAGACCATGCCTTTTGTCATGATGCTACTGATCCTTAGGTCATTTGCAGTCGATTCATGTTTATATTTTCAAGATCAAGCTCAGTGGCCAGGGCATAGTTGCTGCTTAGGACATACTAGAATGAATGAATGAATGACTTTTTGATGTGGGGTGGTTTTACTGTTCAGAGTGATTCATTTTATTAGAACTAAGGCATTATTTTTCTAACTGATGTCACATTTCAAAAAGCAATCTGATTTTGAGGAACTGTTTTACTTCATAAGATATTTATTCCTTTCTATTTCTGGACATACTTACAAATACACAAATATCAAAGGAGTCCTTATTTTTATAGTATTTATGGAAGTTGGTTGTTCTTGAACGTGCCTGGAGAGTTCCATGAGAGTTCATGGCTGTGTTCAGGTACAGCTGGGAAATGATCCTCCAATGTGAAGAGTAATTGATGTTAATGACCTCGTTTGAGTCAAGCTTGGGTTTAATTAACTTGGATGCTTCCGTTTCTATCTCTTAACATTGTAGAGCTATAGTAGTGCTTGTTGTAAGGAGGGATTGCCTGTGTTTGGCTTGATCTAAATCCAGACACTCATGGAGAAGCAGTCATAGATATTAATATTGGGTGAGGTGAGAGAGAGCGAGAGCAGTCTATTGAAGATTGGGATCTAACCTTGTGTTTTTCTCTTCGGCAGGGGGAATCCCGCATCCTCAGAGTAAAAGTTGTTTCTGGGATTGATCTCGCTAAGAAGGACATCTTTGGAGCCAGGTATGTTTGTTCTGTGGGCTTCCATACTTTTTAGATTGTGATAGAACTCGTGACCCCTGGAGACTTCTTAAGCCACATCCAAGGGCCGCCTGCAGTGGTTGCTTCTGTGTCCAATTGGTATACGCTGGCCAGGGCTGTATTTGCCGAGGGAGTCTAAAGCCTTTATGACTAACTGGGCAATTTGCCTTGGGGTGGGCCATCACATGAAGAAATTAAGGTCTGGGTAGGTTTCTCTTTTGGGTAGGAAATACAGCTTGGGAATATGACTATGGTCATTTTAGTACATTTAAGATCCCTCGAATCCATAGGTTCTGGATTGAGCAACCTTAGGTCAAAAGTATTTGGATGAAAGATTGCCTCCAGGTTCTAGTGCTTACACCTATATAATCCTAGCTACTCGGGAAGCTGACATGTGAGGATCACAGTTCTAAACAAGCCCTGGTAGGAAAGTCCAGGAGACTCTTACCTCCAATTAACCAGCAAAAAGCTAGGTCTGGGGCATGGCTCAAGTGGTAGAGTACCAGTGTTGAGCCAGAAAGGCTGTGGGATAGTGAAAGGCCTTGGGTTCAAGCCTGAGTACTGTTTGTCAACACACATAGTCTCTCTTTCCCTCCCCTCCTTCATCCCCCCCTTCCCCCGCCCCTTCATCTGTGCCTCTCTCATTATATTTTCTAGACCACACAGTGTAACAACAGTTTGGACATCATTTATATTGCGTTAGGCTCCCTAGCCCTCTAGCAATGAGTTATGTGGACATGTGTGGTTTCATACAAATACTAGAGCACGTGGCACAGGGGACAGGAACACCTGCAGATTTGGATGTGTGGGTGTTTTGGAACTCGTCCTCCACAGACGCGCAAGGATGACTGCACCTTTCTGGATTAAAAAAAAAAAATCCTAACTTAGGAAGACAGGGAAGTATATCTTGTTCCTAGAAAGCGGATTCCCTTGCTGTGTACAATCTGCAGTAGGAGGTCTGGTGGTTTGGATGCCTTGGGGATTCCCTGTCAGGGCAAAGCTCAAAGGGGTTGTGGGGATCCCGGCTGTGGGCAGATGGGAAGGAGGCAGAAGGTCCATGTTACAAGGTGGCCTTTGTGTGGGCAGAGCTGTGGAGATCTGTAGTATTTGGGGGTGATGGCTTTGCACCCTTGGCCAGAGACAGGGGAGGTGTAGCAGGTCAGAGTCTTGGTGGAGTAGAATGTGGCTGTCTGGTGGTACAAATGGGGCCTTCATCCCCCCTCGCTCTGTTGAGGGGGTGGGGGAAGTTGCCCGAGACTCTTGAGGACTGGAGCTTGTGGGGGACCCGTGGCCGCCAGTCTCCCTCTTGTAGAGTTTCCGTCACCCCTTGAGAGGCCTGGCCCCCATCCAGCCTGGAGGATTCTGATGGTTTTCCATCTTCTCTCCAAAGCCCAGTCAAAGCGGAGTGAAGGACCCTTTGCTCTGAGCAAATTGGCCAGCTGAGCTGTAGTGGCCCCACTGAGCATGGTTGCGGTGGCATGCACGGAGGGCAGCCGAGGCAGACAGACGCTTCCCTGTCCACCATACCCAGAGGTGGCGAGCGGGCAGGCGCCGGGTTCTCACTCATACCAGGGCACTTTGATCTGGAAGAAAGCACTGCCTTAGATCCGACAGTCAGGACACGTGAGGCAATCAGAGATGTGGTTACTGTAGATCAGAAGCCTCAGTCTTTGTGATCTGTTCTGTGTGGTGTGTGTGGTGTGTGTGTTGGGTTTGGAAGACTATGTGATTTTTAGAACAATGCTGAGCCTAAGGGGGGCGGGGGATAGGATGATCTTTGTTCTTTACTCTATTGAGATGCATCCCAGCCCATGCAGACATGGTTGGTGCCCTGGCTCGGCCTGCAAGGCTCTGCTGGGCCTCATCTCCTCCATCTCGCAGGCTTCATCCACCACTCACGGGCTCCTGCAGGTCACTCCTATGCTAGGCGTAGATCTCTCAGTGACTCTGCTTGCTTTGTACTTAGAATCTTTTCTGTCTCCTGCACTGGACAGTCAGCATCTGACGGCTAGGGCTAGATTGTATTATTCTTTATCTTTTGGCGCCTAGTACAGCACCCCGTGGGTCCTCTAGAAGTAGTTAATGAAATACTGCTCTGTCTCCTCCATCCCTCCTTTCCCAGTTTCTTCAGCAAAAACTCACACTCCATGGTTGAGGCTCTTTGCTCTGCCTGGAATCTGTTCACATCTTACCTGGCATCTCCCAGGAGCCAGTTCCAGTGTCACACACCTGGCCCTGGCCTCCGGCTGATGAGGATGATGGGGCCGTAGCTCTGCTCCCTCCTCCAGCCCCTCATCTTGGCAGAGTTGGAGGCCTTGGAGACCGTGGTGGATAATGACGTCATGTCATGGGGTGCAGAATGATTGTGGTGTGCTGGCGGAGGCCCCTTTAAAGTCCCTTTGCCTGAGGGCTCCATGGGCTCACCCTGCTTTGTCCCCCAGCATCGTTTTGTTTTGTTTTTGTTAGTCCTGGGGCTTGAATTTACGGCCTGGGCGCTGTCCCTGAGCTCTTTTGCTGGGTTAGCACTGTACCACTTTGAGCCACAGCACCAATTCCAGTTTTCTGGTGGTTAATGGGAGGTAGGAATCTCACAAACTTTCCTACCTGGGCCAGCTTTGAACCATGATCCTCAGGTCTCAGCCTCCTGAGTAGTTCAGGTTACATGCATGAGCCACCAGAGCCCGGCAGTCTCCAGCATCTTACAGAGTTTCTACACAGACCAGTGAAGGATACCTGCCAGCGCTTGCAGAACTGTGAGTGGGGAGAGAGGAGGTCAAGGGAAGCAAGTGCGGGGATGGCATCAGAGAACAGAATCTTGGGCAGTTGGGGATGGCAGATGGATGCAAACTTGCTACAGAAGTACTTGTGGTCATCTCAGAGACATCCATGTGGGTGAATAAGGCCACACTGGGCTGAGAATGGAAGGGCCAGGCCCAACACCAAGCATTAGGAGACAGGGCAGAGCCAAGAACGTCAGCCACAGATGAGGGTGTACACAAGCCTGGTGAGTCATCTTGGCCATTATCCTGCCCGGGAAAGGGAGGTCAAGAGTCAGGCATTGGGCAGCCAGCTGCCTGTCAGAATCAAAGCAGTTACAAGAATCAGGCTACAAAAGCATCTAGAACACAATCATATGCAATTACAAGCTTTTACCAGGAGGCCTCATGTGTGTGTGTTTTTTTTTTTTAAACACTGTACAGAGGGGTTACCATTACATGAGCAAGGTAATGAGTATATTTCTTATCAAGCATTGTAGCCTCCTCCTTTGTTTCCCTTCTCATCCCATCCTCCCCCCCCCATCCCCCACTCGTGTGTATTTTTTGATAGGGCAGGGATGAATCCTGCTGTTTGGCCACAGTGAAGTGTGCAGTTTGGATAAGCGAGTCCTGGAATCCCAGGTTAACGTCAGGTGTGCATGGCACTGCATACAGCTCCATCAGTTTTGTCCATGTTTTAGGAAGAGACAATAATTAGCTGGACACTGGTGGCTCACGCCTGTAATCCTGGCTATTCAGGAGGCTGAGATCTAAGGATTACAGTTAGAAGTCAGTCCAGGCAGGAAAGTCCATGGGATTCTTATGTCCAATTGACCAGCAAAAAGCCAGAAGTGGAGCTGTGGCTCAAGTGGTAGAGCACTGGCCTTGAGTTGAAAAGGCGAAACGACAGTGCTCAGGCCCTGAGTTCAAGTCCTAGTACAGGCATGTGTGCCTGTACACATAAGCACAGAAGCACATGCATGTATGTGCATGTGTGCACACACGTGCGCGCGCGCACACACACACACACACACACACACACACACGCAAAGAGGGAATAATCGTCTCCATTTGCTAGGTGACAGAATAATCAATACATTGTCCTTAGCCCAAGGCAGATGAGGGGGTAGGGGACCTGTTAGTCTGGATTTATGTGACTTCTGGTGCCATGCTCTTTCAGTGATAGGTTAACACTTCTCCGGCCATCTTGGACCATTAGCTTTCTTCTACAACTCAGATGGACAGTTTGGTATAAGTTAGCAGATTTAAAGAATTAGTCATTGTCACTGATGGCAGTTGACTAGTGGTTTTTGAATTGAGGGTAAATTCATTAACTATTAGATTTAAAATATCTGTACTTTGCTAAGCAAGACCTGAAAGTTTCTCTTTTAGGCATAGGATGTCTTTATAGGTTTCAGACTGTGTTCTTTGTTAGTTTGTATCACCAGGCCTTTAACCTGTAGTCATTGGTGTAAGAAGCAGGAACAGAATAAGGTCACTTCAGTTCCAGTTTTGTACCTAGCTCTGCCAGCTTTTCCTCCTTGGTTGTGAGCAGAGCCTTCATTTGAGGTTACTAAGGTGAACTTGAAGCTAGGAAGCTGTTCTTGGATATTTAACAGTGAGAGCTAAGACACCAACTCCACAGTTCCTTGCTTTCCCAAGTACAAAAAGGAGCAAGATACCTGTTTCACGGGACCTGCTTTTGCCTTGTTATCATCTTTCCTTTTGGCAGCTAGAGGTTTGAACATTTAAAACCCACATGAGCTGCAGGCTTGCAGAGGACGTGGTACAAGCTCTTCCTGTCTCCTGGTGATTGAGAGTCTTGAAACCTTAATGTCAGAAAATGGGACCAGCTCACTTTGCTCTCCTTTATCTTGGTTTAAGTTGTTAACATTTCCCTCTTGAGCTTCATCTCCCTACCCCTCAGCTCCCCAGTATTCAAAAGTGAATTAAAGACATCATGACATTTAGCTCCTGAATACTGCAGCCCACAGCTGCACAAAACAGGAACTTACTACTGGGTAACCACAGTGCCCATTTCATAAAATGGAAAGTAATTGCATAATGGACACTGTTACCTTGTCCATTATCTGAATTTCTCCAGTTGTCTCTAAAATGGCCTTCCAGCCAGTCTGTTAAACTTCACCCTAGAGTTATGTATTGCACTTAATTGGTAGGTCAGTTAGACTCCCTTAATTTAGAGTAGGTCTTTTCCTCCTTTTGATG